TGTATGTAATTTTAGATTGCTTGCTTCTAGTTAAAAGATCTTTATAAATTTCCTTATATGGTGCTAAGCACTTATGAAGAATAAAGCAAGTATGGAATAAGGGAAAAACATCTGGCAACACCAGAAGCAGAAGCGTCGAGATCTAGCAACATTGAAACAATTTTTGCGACAAACCATATGTATGGAGACGAGAAAAGAAAATTTACACACTGAAGTACTAATAGTTCAATTTTCGTGAACTATTAGTACTTAAGTATGTAAAAATTTATTACATTTCATGTTGTACGAGGGTTTTATCCATTTCTCGAACCGTGTCAGAGTGAATCCGTGTTATAAAAGTACCGTGCTATACGGGGGATGGTACCAATTCTCGAACCGTGTTAGAGCGAATCCGTGCTATAGAAGTGCCGTGTTATACGGGGGTTACCTGTATTAGTGTTTTTTAAGTTTTCCCCAAGGAGAACAAATATTAACTCCCTGAATTTCCTTTTCTTGTCTATTTTTATGAAATTACTAGCAAAGATGTCCAACATTGATTGTCTAGGTGAAAGATAATAAGGAGAAACATTAAAATTAAAACCATATTAAAAGTTTGGTTATTTTAGCCTGTGCATTTCTGGCTATATTACTAGTATATAAAGGTACACCCCTGAATTTCTGGCAACTGATGGTCTGGTACTGCCTTTAAATCAGACAACATTATGAGATGGAACTTGAAATGCCTGCAGCTCCAGATTAGTTTACCGAGTGGCCACATGTGGCATTATGTAGGACATGCTTATATACATTATTTACACTGCACTTGGTGATGAAATCACAATTTTGTAATATTCTTAGCTTATTTTGCTGAAATTTAACCTTAGCTAGGGGAAGAGAGTATTAGTGTGTTATAAAATGTAACTTACATTTAATATTTATTTGATTTAAGTTTCTAGCAGTCAATGGTATACTTTAGATACATGGGAGGTGCATAATTAATGGATTAGAGGTGTGCTGTTGAATTTTTATTATACATGACCATGGATGGTCTGGAAAAATGGTTAATCTAGCAAGGCTTTGAGACCAAGGGTACCAGAAATTCAGTGGTGTACCTGTATACAATTGCAAATTAAAATATAAAATTATTTCAGATTCAAACTTTAGAATTCAAATAGCTTAATTATTTTTGATAAAATAAAACTTACGAACGAGCTCTCAAATAAAACTCTATTTGCTGCATCTTTTTTTCATTGTATGGTTGCTGTGTTTCTGTCTCATTTGATGGATTAACCTTTTCCTCTTTTTTATTTTCTGTGTTATGAATTTTTTCTGATTTCTTTGGACCTAATGAATTAATACGTGTTTTTTCAACTGCTTTTGAAAATTCCTTCTTCCTTGATAAATTTTTGATATATGATTTGATTAAAGCATTTGTTGAACATGGGTTTGTTGTCTGTAGGATATCTGCTGAATTTTGGACATCTAAAAGAAGCATTAATTTTATTAATAATAAATTCAGAAATCTTTAGTTTTAATAACAATTTAAGTATGCATTTTTTAATATTCAATGACTCATACATGATAAATAATTAAGTTGAAATATTAAAATTTATTTTAAAATAATAATTCTATGAGAATTAATTTAAAAGTTAATCATTAGGAATGAATAACGTTCAGAAAAATATTTTTAGGAATACATAAATTTTAAAAACTATATTAAAATAGCTCAGACATAATTAGAATAACCTTAATTATAATAGGAATTAACTTAATACAATACTACATACATCTATTTATTTAAATTAGTTTACATTTTTCTATCAAAAATATTTTTGATTATAAAATTTAATAATTTTTAACAATAAAATTTATTCATAATTTTTAAAAATTCTAAGTATGGTAATATTAAAATTAAAATAAAAGAGCAAATTATTTTGAGTAATCACATTAATTTTCATTAATATCAGCAACTTTTAAAAACTTTAAATTCTTTATATTATGTTGTATATAAATATTTTGAAATTAACATGTAAAATAATGTGAAAAGTATGATTATATTTAAATCTTTTACCATTAAAACAGATGTATCTGCCTACATTTATGCTAATTTTAAATAAGCAACTACAGAGATTAGACTGAAGCAACAATAATTATTTGAGGCTTTGCACTTCAAAAGCTGAGAACACTATTATACCAGTTTAAAATAAGATTATGTTGTTATTCTTAGAATTTACTTATTATATTATAAATATTTATGCTGTTGGAGTTTACTACTAAAAAATTTCATGTTATTATTATATGAATATGAGCATTTTTTTATACAAATCTGCAGTTTTGTTTAAAGTTTGTAAAAAATAATAATGCTACTAAAAAATATAAACAAATAGATTCATCTTTTCTTTGATGCATGTTATAAGAGATTATTATATCAATTGCCTTTATTAGAAACAAATACATATAATAAAGTCTAAAGTTTAAAGGGGCATTATTAATGTTTCTACTGCATTTTCAATAGAGTTAGCTATTCATTTAACATTTGAAGTTTGATTTTTGATAGAATAAAATCTTAAAACACAAAAAATGGTTTGTGTTTAAGAATAATTATTAATACAAATGAATCATTTTAATATTTTTTAATTTTTCATTGGCAGTTTAATTCTAATCTTTTATAAAGATCACTGCTATGTACTAAAATTATTTGTTAGAAAGATGTCTTAAGAAATTTAGACTGTATGTGAATAACTTGCTTTCAAATAAGTAATGCTGTAAATACTAAAAATTTTTTAGAGCTCAAGAGTAATATAAATATTAAAAATAATTTAGAATAATTACAACTGATATTGGATATTAAAACAAATAAGATTTTAATTGGATATATTAGCGAGGTTGAAGCCGAAGTTTTAAACGTGAAAACGTGTACGTCGGACGTTCAGCGCCACTTTCTTGTAAACCTAGAAGTTTGACAATGGTGTTTGGATAGTCAGTGGAATCATGCTTGACATTCCAAACACCATTGTCAAACTTCTAGGCTTACAGGAAAGCGGCGCTGAACGTCCGACATACACATTTTCGTGTTTAAAACTTCGGCCTCAACCTTGCTATTGCAAATTTAATCTACTTGAGTAATTAAGTAAGTAAAAATAAATAATAAAAATTGAATTAATAAGAGATAAGCTTGCTTGAATGAAAAGTTTAATTTTGCATATTTTATAATTAAATTAATAATCATATTATGAGAGAAAATTACTGAGATTAAACTTCTTCAACTAATTTTACTAATCAAAATAAATTAGTATTTTATCAATATTGTTTTTTTTACATAGTATTTGTTATGCTACAAAAATATTAATTTTATTTTATTATTCAAAGTAAAATTACTATACTAAATTTTGTTTTAATTAAGTATGTTATTTTAAAAACTATATAAAAACTAAATATTTGAGTTTTATTGTATTTCATATTTAAAAAAAAAAAAATAAAATAAACTTATACAGCTTCTATCTCTTCACACGCTGGGAAGTATTCATTGTATGTAAACTGTCTTTGAACACAATGAGGAATAGTCATTTTTCAAGTCTAAAGATGGGCTGAAGGAAATCTTTATTTAACTTGATAGCAACATTTTCTAATTTGAGATTAAAGGGTCTTTGATCCGTAATTGGCAAGTGGCACTATCAACTTGAATAATAGTTTCCTTCAGCACATCTTTAGACTGGAAAAAAAGAGACTGTTTTTCATTGTGTTCAAAGTCAGTTTACATTTGATAAACTTGCAAAATTTAAAAAATATACTGGATAATTTTAGAATTTATTTTAATTTATAACTGAATCTTTATTTAAAAAATTTATAATTAAATTTTTGCTTATATTTATAATTTGCTTAATTTATAATTAAATTTTAAATTGTCATCAATTATAATAAATTTTTTTTGTTTTTGTTTTATCCTCCTGTAATAGAAAATTTTCCTTTATACAATTAATAATGTAATTTAATTGAAATATAATGAATTTAATGAACTAGAATTGAAGTATAATGTTTGAGTATTTAGATAAGAGTTTTTTCCTATTATGATAAATTGACACTGTGAGATTTTGAACACCCCCTTAATTAATTGAAAATTGATTCAAATCCATAATTTTTAGAAATAATATTCCTAATTTAATTGAAATATAATGAATTTAATGAACTAGAATTGAAGTATAATGTTTGAGTATTTAGATAAGAGTTTTTTCCTATTATGATAAATTGACACTGTGAGATTTTGAACACACCCCCTTAATTAATTGAAAATTGATTCAAATCCATAATTTTTAGAAATAATATTCCTAATTTTAATGACAAATTTTTAAGTTAAAAATGAAGGAAAATGGTAAAACTGACTTCCTTTTCAACAGAAGTTCTACATCCTTTTTGTTTTCCTTTATCTTCACAAATTTTGAGTCACATACAGTCCAGTTACCCCTCTGTAATCCCCACTCTTCCTAATCACATGGGAATAATACAATTTTCTCATTGGAGAAAAACATCAAAAAAGGGGCTTCTTGAGTATTATTTGGAGAGTATACCAAAGGTTCCATAGGAGGAAAGACATATCCTATATAATCTCCCCAAGGCCAATGCCCATAACTAACTCCCAAAGTTCATACAAAGTTTGTTTCTAAGATCCTAAGTAGAAGAAAATGCTTAATGAAGTGCCGCCTAAGAATTAAAAAGGGACAAGAATGAAAACCAGAGGAGAACTCGAGAAATAACGAACATTCACCTCGATACATATAGAAAGAATACAGAAGACTATATATTGTAAGGTAGTATGATTTTTAAATTGAAATGTGATCTCTCTCTCTCTGCGATATCCATATTAATATGTTGAAGGTCCAATTTGTATATTTTTCTTTGTTTTATTAAATATTCAATATTTTTATGTTTAAGAAAGGTCTCATTCATGTCTGAATCTAAAGATCTCATCCTCTCCATATTGATTCGTAAATGCGTGTTAATCCGCATGTAAGAAAACTGATTAACTGGTGTCAAAAATCCTGATGTGGATAAAGACTTCACCATCTATATCCTTACAGAAGCCCTCCTTAAATGTTTAGAGATCGAATCTAACGATTTTGTGCCGATTAAGCGGTACTCCAGGTTGTACCCCTGGCTAATCTCACACAGCATTAACTTTTTTTTTTACAAACAATAAGTTTATCAGTTTTATAATATTCTCCAGATAAATATTAAATAAGAAATACTAAATTTACAATTTCTGACTATGGTCTCCTATAATCATTTATATAATTTAAAATATCAAAAGTTTTAAACAAATAAAATTTTAAATTTACTCTAACTGATTTTTATTATGTTTTTACCAATATGTTTGATTACTGATTAATTCACATTTACTTCACAAAAAACAAAAAATTATTGAAATTTGTCAATTAATATTTATTACAATGTAGTTAAAAACATATTGATATCAAAGTATTAGTGAAAATACGGCATTTTAGTAATTAAATTTTGTTATTGCTTTTCTAATTTTAATTAATTTAAAATATTTAAATTGCAAACAAACTAATTTCCTTTTTAAATCCAAGCATACATGTTTCTGCATAGAACATTGATATTGGCTAGACACAGTTGTGTGGATGACAAAAATTAGTATGCAATAATTAGAAATTATTTATTATTAGAAAAAAAAAATTAATTGTCTGATATTTTGGATTAAACTAACATTCTGTTATAAATTGCTTCAGAATGTCAGTAAGATTAATGTCTTTATTGAATTTACATATAAATTAATGCATCTTTAAGTTAAAGTTTCCATTTTTCCATTATTGTAAAGAAATCTGATAGAAGACAATTGCAATTGATTATTATAAATTCTAGTAATAAAATATCCTAACAAAATCCATCCTCTAATCTGTTATTTCCATGAACAATAAACAAACTGAAAATTTTGCAATGTAACTTATAATTGGTATTTAATTAATCATATAACTTTTTCTGTTTTATAATATAATCAATTATATAGCATAGAACAAAAATGAAAAAAGCAACATGAAAAAAAATAATATTAAAGCAAAATATTAAAGATATCTGTTTAGGTATTAAATTGTAAATATATCTCCAGAATACTAGATAAAGAGATAATTAACACACAAAAACCATAAAAATCCAGTAAAATAAACATTTAATAAACTAACTAATGTTTCAATTGTCTTAAAACAGTCTTACTTAACTTAAAGATGACCATTTAAGATAATTGAAAACATTAATTAGTTTATTAAATGTTTATTTTGCTAAATTTTTACGGTGTTTGTGCGTTAGGTATTAAAATGCCCATAATGCAGTTCTGCAGTTCTTAAAGAAGAAGCATCAATGTTATAATATTAACTTAACAATACTTTGTTTTGATATAAATTGCTTTTACTTTTCAGATCCATTTTTATAGAATATTTCTGAAAATAAGACTTTAAATATGCATTTTTGAGAATTTTTTGATAAATTTACAGATATAAACAAATTCACACTTTCAAGTACAGTAAATCTCAGTAATCATATGATGATTTTTTTCACATATTAACAATGATATGTATCTTTTAAAATACAGTACACCTCTTAGCTTTCTGTCAACAATTTAATTTTAAATTTAAAAATAAATCTTTTAAGTTATGAAAACTATATATATATATAATAATAATAATAATAATCTGATGACATTTAGTTCTAAATTTTTAATAATTTTTTGGGCTGTAATTTTCAAATTGCAGATCTATATATTCACAGTGGAATCTGTCTTTTTTCCTTAATCTTGAGAATGGAATTAGACAAATGAAAGTAGAGACCAGATAAAGGAAGCTTAGGGGCAGGAGACCCCAACTGACTATATACAAACTTTTGGTTTAGACCAGTAGTCACATTATTTCAATTTAAAAGTTTTCCACAGAATGGAGTTAGATAGATGGTCTTATCATTCTATTATTAACAGGATAAGTATGATGTACTGTACAGGGGTAAGACACTACTAAAATCAAAGCCTATATTTTAAATTAAAAAATATGATTAAAAATTGCAGCCTAGCATTGTGATGATGTCAATAAATAATTGCTTATTTTATGTGAGATAGCCCTCATAACACATTAGTTAGGTTCCACAAAAATGTAGTGTTATAAACATTGCATTATGTGAGATTTACATTGCATATAAAAAGTAGGTTTACATTCCAAAATTATTATTTTTTTAAATATAAATTTTATCTATTGTAAAAGAAAATAATAGTTTTATTTAATTCAGAAAATTTTGTTTAACAAAACATGAATTATAAAACAAAAACAAACTTATTAAAATCCATAAAATAATGAATTGTACATAACAATCTTTCACTGCACATAAAAAATAAATTTTAGTCATCTTCACAACTATCTTCCAAAACAACATTTTACCAATATTCTTTATTTGTCAATGGCCAGATATCTTTAATGCCTGAAACATCTTGGACACTGCTATAACTTTCAATTTCTTTAGATTCTTCTGCTAGTTTAGTTTTCAAGAAGTTGGTTAGGAGAATCTGTTGAGTGTTTTGTTGCAAATGTTTTTGAAATTTGTTGAAATGTTCAATGGAAGAATTTTTCCAATTGGGGATAGAGCCACAAAAAATTTCCTAACTTCATTTTCAAGTCCAATCCTTCTCTTAATTTTTTTAAAGTAAATATCTTAACAGATTTACCAAAATCTTTGGCTGAATTGTTTCTATCATTATTTTATACATATTTTTGGTCAACATCATCTATTCATTGTATCAATTCTTCCTCATTCAAATCTTTAATTTCATTAATTAATTCATGAATATCATTTTCATTCAGGTCATAAAAACCCCTCCACCAAAAATAAGGTATGCAAATGATTTCATATGAATGCTTATATCAAAATTAAATTGTATAAGTACCATGTTATGTCAAAACTGCATTATACAAGGGTTACTTGAAATACTTTTTATAATTTTTATTTGTACTCATTTGTGTTTAAAAGTTGTATTTATTTATTATTTCAAATAAGCTAACATTATTTATTAATATTTAATACCAATTAGTACTACTAAAAATAAATTTAATGTAAAAAATTCTGTGAAAGTGAATACAATAAACCTTCAATTTAACAAACAAAAACTTGTTTTATAGGAAAGATTTAAAATCAATTATTTTCCAAAACTAGGATAATTATTTAAACACACAGACAAAACACCTAAATCCAGCATATCTTAATTAATTAAATAAACCCTTTTACTAACATTTTCATCTGTATACAACAGACATCTTCAGGTATATATAATGTTGAATTAAACAGACAAATTAAAATTGAATAGAAACAAATTACAGATTCAGTTTAAAATTATTTTTTGAATACATTACGTCTGTAGTTATAGTCTATAGCATATTCAATTTTAATTTGTCTGTTTAGTTTGATGTTGTATATACCTGAAAATATCTGTTGTATACAGATGAAAACATTAGTAAAAGGGTTTATTTAAGGTATGCTGGTTTAGATGTTTTGTCTGGATGTAAAATCTTTTTTTGTTTTTGAATAGAGCATACTGAAAGGTTAAAACAATGAGTTAAAAAGTTTAAATTAATCTATGTACATTAAATTATTATTTTGTTCATATTTACACATCATAACATTTTAGTTAACATTTTAGTACTATTTGAGGGAAATGGATGTTTTCTATTACCAAACTTTCAATAATAACAGACATCTGTTTTTCCCAAATTATGGTAGTCCATTCAATCAAGGGTTTACTGTAATTTGTTTTTTTTTTCTTAGACTATTAAATTTTTATAGACTTATGAAGATTACAAGTTGATTGAGAAAAACAATCTCACAACATAAATATTGCTAAATTTGACTTTTTAACTAACATAACTACATCTCCAAATAAAACAGATTTAAAGTATATTGATACATCAACTAAAAATATGGAAACTGATTATGTGATGTGTTCTATAGTATAAATGAGATTTATAGAAATCACATTTTTGATGTTTACATTTAAAATATTGTTGTTAATAATACAGTAAAAAATGCAATAATCTTTTTTCATCAAAGTAGAACACTTTATTCTGTTTTCCAACTAAACAATGAACAATTTCTAACATGAGTGATTAAATTAAAAACTGAGATATGTTTTTTTATGTGGTTTTAAAGATTAAATTTAAAACTATTTATAAGTTTAGATTTACTTCAATTCATAAATAATATAGCAAATTCATATTTTCTATACTAACTAATTAATCATCTAAATTATTACAATTTTTTTTTTCAAAAGAAAATTTATGTAAGACAATTTTTATTTTTTCAAAAAGTTGTTTTATATAAATATAAAATGTCATAAAATATTGTAATATTTTGATAAAACACAAGTAGATATAACTTACAAAGTACAAAAAAATTTGACATCAAATAAGTAGTAAAATATTTTTACCTTTCTTCTGAAATGGAATATCAATTTTGAGTTTTCTTCCATAAGGTTTAGCTTTCAACAATTGATGTTGTTTTGACTGTTTTGTCTATTCATAAAACAAAAAAATATTATTAATGTAAGTAAAGAATTGCAATACTTCTTTGTGTGGGGTATAAAATATTCGCCTGTGTATAATTTGTTTTTGACTTTAATTCTATCAATCTTTCCAAAACTCAAAAAAAGAACTACCAAGATTACCTGCCACAAAAAAAATAATACTTCTGTGTGAAACAACTCATCAAGATTTTGATTACACACATGATTAGCAAGAATCAAGACCTGAAGAGGATAAATCTTTTCCCAAGTTTGGGATATTCCAGAGTGTGACCATCTGATGAGAATTCCCCATAAAAAGAGATAAAATGAAGGTAGTCAACACACAGTGCAAGAAGGATCTATAAGAGCAGAACTGATCCAAGAAGTGGGGTTTAAACCAACTACTGACCATTTATCATCATCAAACTGCTGAGCCAGGTCCACCTTCTTTCAACCCAACTTCAAGTAGGATTTCAATACATGACCATCCATCATTTCCAGCCACCAAGACAATCTTTAGTTGATATTCATCACTCCATCATCATTTGATTACCATTAGAAGATCAGACAATCAACCTCCAAAACTCAACCTTTGTCCTACATTTGGTTTTGATCAAGTGTTATATAAACTCTCTTTTTCTCTCTATTAAAAAGCTATTGTACTTTCTACAAGTCAGTTCTATGCATAAATAAATATAATTAATAATTTTAATATGTGCACATGGATATTCTTTATTGAGACTCATGCAACATCAGACCTTTAAATAAAGTGTGTCATCCTATGTTGAGGTTTACATAGGCCAACTACTCATGCCTGATAGTGTTCAGACACCAATCTGCAAAACCTGACACTTGTGTTCTGTTATTAATATGTTTGAAACTGATGATAAGAATAGATGTATCTCAGTAAAATTTTTCAAATGTATGTTAAATTATTAATGTGGATTAATAATAATTTCAAGAGCTAAATATTTATTTCATCAAAATAAACTGGAATTTATTTTGTTTTAGCTTAAATATAAACCATAAATTCAACTTAAATTTCTTGATAAAATACTAATTACACTACACCTTATACACTTTTCCAGCATTAGTTTAATCAAAATGAAATTTTTTGACCCTGTTCAGAGGTCTGCCTCAAGTTTAAAGCATATTAAAATACAAATTAAAGAAAAAAACAGTTCTAATGGTAGAACTATAACCAGTATTTTTAAATTTACAAAATATGAAAAACAAATAATTTACATATTTTAAAAGTTCTACAGGCAAACAATTTACATATTTTTAAAATGAAAACATTAAAATAAATAATAAAAATATAATAAATTTAAATAAAATAATTACACATGTTATTAATAAAAATTTTAAAGTCAAGCCTATGTTTTCTCTTGTCTCATTGAGTTATCAACTAGAGACTGTCATGCACCAGATAACGTTTCTTTCTCCTTCAAATTAATGCATTCACCCTTTCTAGACGCTTGGAATATTTCAAATGCTTCCATTGATTGTAACTTGTTGATGTCAAACACCTTTTTAAATAATTTAGCCTGGTCTCAACACATTGACACCCCCGGCTCACTTGCAAACTGGACTAGTGTTGTGGATAGATTATTTGTAAAAACATCATATTTATTATTCCCCAGCCTTTGGGTTAACAATCTTTTAGTTAAAAATTGTTAACCCAAAGACTCAGGGAACATAAATGTACATTTTAGTTACTAAGATCATTGTTTCTATCTCTATCTCCCACCCAACCTTGCCAATTCTTCACTCATTTAAATGTCTGAGCAATGCCAGGTACAGGCAACTAGTTGCCTTCCTATGAAATAGTTGCCTTTGCATTTCCTAAATTGCAAGTTAATTCAAGATACTATAAAGTTCACTGGATTGCAATTTGAAAAATTCTAGACCTATAAATTTCCACTGTCATCTGTCCGACTATCTTTCCTTAATCTCAAGAATGGAGTTACATAGATAAAAATTGAGAATATATATGAAAAGCTTAGGGACAGAAGGCCCCAATTAACTATATATGAACTTCCAATGCAAACTGGAAGTCATGTTATTTCAATTAAAAAATGTTTCCCTGAAAGGAGTTAGATAGATGATTGGCATGACTCTACTCTAACAGGAAAAGTATGATATACTGAACAAGAGCAAGACACTACTAATTTGAGTAGAGAGCATATATTTTAAATGAAATAAATTAAAAATATGATTAAAAATTGAGGCCTGGCATTGTCATAATAAATATTTACTCATTCTCATTAACTTGTTTATAACAGTCAACAATGTTTAACAATGATATTGTTATAAACACTTAATGCTAATCTATGAAACAGTAAAAGTGATTCTTAATTTTATTTTACATTTGAATATAAAAATTGTTTTTTCATATATGAATAGTTTCTTACCTTTACAGGATCATTTAAAGATATTGCATTATTTTTTAATTTTAATTTTTGCTGTGTTTCTAAATGACAGGTAAGATCTGAAAAATAAAAAAATATACAAGTTTTGATTACAATAAAAATAATCAAAATATATACATATACAGTTAAACCTGTCCAAAATGAAACCTGAATAAAATGGAAAAAATTCTTTAGAAGAGACAATTTTCTATGTTATATTCTACTCTAAGCATGAAACCTGTCCAACACAAAACAGAAGAGAATTTTGGGCACAAAGAATATAATTCAACCAGGATAAAGTAGAAAATTAAAATTTCATTTATAGACATATAAGTAAAATTGTTTCAAGTTATAACCATCATTGCAGTGTGACACACTGTATTCTGAGACATCAGAATGATTTTGAGCCTTGTTAAAAAAGGTCATATGACAAGGAACTATAGGGAGACAGGGTCTTTATTAATATTAGTCTTTGTTGGAATTAACCAGGGGTAGAATCAAAAAAACTTTCAAGAATTGAATAAGTTTCAGAGAATTGAGTTCTTGAGAACAAGTACTGAATATAATTTGTGAAAACACTGAGAATATGATAACACAGTGCTAGCAATTACTTTGTATGGATTAACTAATACCAAATATTTCAAAACAAGTTGATTAACATGTTGATAATTACAAAGATTGAACTAAACGATTGATTAAAGTATTAAAATTCCTTGAGAAGTTAGATCATAAAATGACTTGGTTTCTATATTAATGTAATGGAATTAGAATTTTTACATTAGATCAAAACACTAGTTTTTGAAACTGAAATTTGCCTATTTGCTGTCATGTGACTAAAATGGACCACATCCAAGAAGTATTTGAATACCTAGCACAAATTCTTGGAAACAAAGGAAACTTTTTGCAATTGGATTTGAAGGCAAAGCAACACATGAACAATCTGTCAAGGGAAAGTACCTCCCAAGAGAACTTTTATCAGTGTTGCTTACCTTTAAAAAAAATCAAATTTTCAAGTTTTCAATATTTAATTTATTAGTTTTACTTTTCCATCACATAAATCTTTTTATATTCATGCTATTGCACACTTAATAAATGATAGTTTAAATATATTTTTAGGTTTTTCTATGCACTAGAAGTGAAAAAAAGACTGTGATTTGCTTTATAATGGTTTAGAATCTAATCTGCTGTATTAGTAAGATATAAATGTATTTAAAGGTGTGATTGAAATTTCTATAAACATCAATAACTAATGACATAACATTGAAATGTCACAATTATTATTTAAAAAATGTATTATATATGTTTAAAGTTCAATGATGTCATTTCTGGAATTTAATGCATATGAAAAAATTTAAAAAGTATGCACACACTTTTTAACATAATCTTTTATTTTTATTAAGATAAATACTTTTTAAATGAATACAGTAAATTTTTACTTATTTACAACACCCCTATAGAGTCAGAGGAAAATCTGCTTGCATGAATTATGGTCATGGCACAAGAAATTCAACATACACTAGTGGGTGTACCAGAACATGCTTTGCAGATGGAATGTTTGCATAGACACTGAAGCACATTGAGCTGTTCTAGGGGATCTCCGACTGTGCCCAGCGGTGTCGGGCGAATAAAGAATAGTTTGTCTGTTCTAGAAGATCAAGATGGAAAGCAAAACAAATGTTTAGGAAGTATTGTACATTTTTTTCTAAAAAGAACATTTATAAAATACATAAAAATAAAGTACAAAGTTTCCAGACAAATCTACTTATTTTTTCATAAAAATCTTTCAATTTAAATAAAAGAATAAAACATAAACTTGTCTTCATTTGTATGAAAATCCAAAATCAATATCTCTGAACTTTAAATGTCCATAACTCCATAATAAAGGTGTTATTCAAAAAATGTTTGTATACTATGTTTGTATATGTTATTACTTATTAATATATTAAGTAAAAATGTTATTTTATGTAAAAATTACAACACTTGTACAAATATTTATATTGCACAGAATAGTAAGAATAATGAAACTTACAAGTTAGATGCTTTTTTCCTTTTCTATGGATAGCTAACATATCAATTGTATCAAAAATAGGTTTATGATGACAAATAGTGCATGCATACCTATACAAAAAATATTTTAAATATAAGTTAGTTTTATATTACTGTATATAGAATTTACAAATAAAATTCTTTAATTTTAAAAAAATTTATACATATATAAGGTAAATTTATGCAAATACATTTCTATATATCTTAATGAATTTTTTTTACATAAAACAAATTTCAATCTTTTATACAATTTCAAAAACTTAAAATTTTCTTTTATAAAATAACAAGTAAATTCTAAAAATTAAAACTAATTCTCTTAATTTTCATCTATCATTTCATTATTTTTTTTTCAACTGTTTGTTAATATTTTTTATTCAGAAAATTTATTTCCTATCAATCAGTTCAGTCAGAGCTAGAATGAAGCTAACTAGGTGGTAAGGAATAAGGTCTAATATATCAATGGTCATATTACCTTTAAAAATTCCTAAGAATATAATTTGAGATTTAAAATTGGCTATTCAGAACAGCAGGTAAGTGATTTTGGTGTTTAACAATCCAATTAGCATTTAATTTCACTTGGATATAGTTAAATTTGATATTCTGTTTTTAACTATATTGTATGCTTTCACATAAATAATAATTATAATATAATCAATGGATTTTTATTGAATATTTTCAGATACAACTTTTCCAGAATATAAAACACTAAAAAAAAAATACATGAACAAAGTTACAGTCAATTTGCATTATCAATTGCTTGGAGAACAGCAGTTAGATCACTTTATTCAAAATTAAAATTAACAATTTTAAGAGTCAAGGTCATAAAATTTACAGAATTAAGACTTAATAGGACCTATTAAGTCTTAATTGAAACCTCTAAATTATAATATTTTGAATTAATTTACTATATAAAGTTAAATAAGATAAAATTTATTTACAAAAATAAATTAATGTTCTAAATGATTTTTAAATCAAACAAAATGAGGAGAAGACAGTATTCTCCATTTAAGTGTGATGCAGTATGTCAGAGTGATTAAACAAAGCAAAGCTGATAGAAATCTGTGATTTTTTTCTGTTAAAGATTGTTTGAAAAAGTAAAAAAAATATATTTTGTTTTCAATCACAAATGTCATTTAGATATTCATCCATGACATTTTCAAACTGCAGATAGTAGTGTATGGTTGCAATTTTGAAAAAAGGCTTAGACAGCTAAACATCAATCTTGCTTGCATTTACTGAATCATTGTTATTTAAGCAACATCCTGATTAGTTCTGACACTATTGTGCAGAGTATGATGTATGAGTTTGAATATGTTAATGGTGGCATATGCATAGTCAAAAAGTAGCAAAGATTCCAACTTGTTTTTGGTACCAAAAGAGTAAAAAAGGAGCAAAATTTGGAGTAAAGTAGCTAAACCTGTCATCACTGTATGCATGTCAAATTAGTGTGTTTGAATGAGACCAAATCCATTTAAAGGAATGGACATCCTTAAACTTTAATCTGTATTTTCTGAGTACAGTAGAATGATCTGCTTAAAACAGATATTTGAATTTCTCTACAATCAGATGTCAAACTGTCTTTGCTTACTAGGAGAAGAAAATCCATTCTACTCAAAATATAACATTTATTACAGTACCACTTTTAATTTTTTACTTTGAAAAGTTTAAAAAGCAACCCTTGTTGAAAATACAATTATTTCTTGGGGAATGTAAATGTAATTTATGGTTCAGTTTAGCAAATTCTGGTAATATTTTTGCTCACTTTATTGCATGAAAATTAATGTTGTGACAGTAATTTGCTTTAACATAATAATTCCTTTTGTCAGTGTTTGCTTTAAGGTGAGTTGACTGTAATAATGACAAAGTCAGTCAAAAAGTATACAAGTTTCTTTTTGAAAATGGTTTTTGATACATTTCTTAAATATTTTTCATAAAAAAACTACATGACCATTGTTGTCATAAAAAAATTTTGCATTTTTAAACATCAAAAAGTGCATTAATTAGTGCCTAGTGTGAGATTCTGAACCCACTTTTGTGACACACCCTCCCTAATTAATTGAAAATCGATGTCAAATATATAAACTTTTAGAAGTAATATTTCTGATTTTAAATGTAAGAATTTTAGGTTAAAAACGAAGGAAACTGGTAAAACTGACTTCCTTCTCAACGGAAGTTTGACATCCTTTTTGGTTTCCCTTATCTTTACAAAATTTTGAGTCACGTACAGTCCAGTTACCCCTCTGTAAACCCCCACTCATCCTAAACACATGGGAATAATACCGTTCTCTGATTGGAGAAAAACATCAAAAAAGGGGACTCTTGAGTATCATTCGGGGAGTACGCCAGAAGATCCCAAGGAGGACAGACGTATTCCATACCATCTCCAAACGGCCAACGCCCATAACCGAATCTCGAAGTTTCTACTAAATGAGTTATTATTTGTTAAAATTAGAGAATAATATGTTTATTGATGTGTTTTTGAAGAATTAACCTAAGATAAGAACATTCGTCCAGAACTTGATCTAAAGAAGAAGATAAGAGAAATATGTTCTGAGGTAGTATGATTTTAGCTGAAATTGTAATCTCTCTCTCCGCAATAGCTTAAATAGATATATTTGTAATTCCATGTTGTATAATTTTTCTTTGTTATTAAATACTCGTTTTTATATTAAATAAGGTCTAAATGTCTGAGTCAAAATATTTCATCATCTCCATAACTTTCCATTTCGTGTGTTAATCTGCGTATGATAAATTTGATTAACTGGTGTCATTGTCCTGACGTTGGATAGAGACTTTGCCATCTATATCCTTTTACTCATAACAAGCTCTCCTATAAAAAGTTTTAGTGAGCCAATCTAAAGATTGTGTGTAAGTGACATAGATCAAGTCTATGCCCTTGGCTTCTCACACTAGTGTTAAAAATAGGAATCTAGCATTGTCAACAACTTCAATTTAATTACTATTAAACAATGCATTATATCATTGTATAATGCATTGTTTAACATATATATCATTATATATATGTTATTCTATCTTATGATGATGATATGTGCTTCTATTAAAGTGTTTTTTAATTTAAAATATTTTTTATGTTAATTTATTGGTTTAGTGTTGGGCAGCAAATTATATGGTAGGTCTATTTAATTATTTTTATGATTTCATTTGAATTTTCTAAACTATGTAGTAATAATTATTAATTAATTCATAAATTGATATTTTATTTTGTGTGCTGGTGTGCAATGATTTTGGAAAAATTTATGTATGTTCTTGCAGAAGTTTTGAGTCCAAAAATATTCTGCACCTCCACAGGCCAGATGATCCTGAATTTCCCAACCAAGTTTGTTGACCACCTCCACTGTGAGCTGGGTCATGCTCTGACACTAGCCAAAAGGCTTCTATTCTGCAAATGTAGCATTGTTGCCAAAAGGATGGAAGATCTCTCGGTATGTGGAGTGGGAACAGCAGGGGTAGAGCAAAACTAATTAAGTCTATATAACACTTACTCATCACTACTACTGAAATTCCAGACAGAATTTGAACTGTTCTTAAAATTAAATAATTTGATAGAAGCCATTTAATAAATAAAAAATAAGCTACATATAATTCAAATTTTAACATTGATTATTTAATCATTTTTTTCTTCTAATTGTGTAAACCTGCATTACCTCTTTCTTTTTTTAATATTCAGTAAAGTTCTTTCTTCTATTAAAAACTTGATATGATAATGTGTTCTATTATTGAAAGTATCAATATATTCAACCAATGTTGTTACAGATTTTTATTTTTGCAATTCTTCTCTATTTCTATTAATCCTATCCTCTAAGTTTTAGTTATATTATTAGATCAGGGGTCGCTAAAGTGATCGATATCGACCCCCAGGGGTCAATATAACATTATTGGGGGGGTCGATTATCAAGCTTAAGCTAAGGATAAGGATCAAGCTTATCCATTTCACTAATTGTCAGTTACAAAAATTATTATTAACAAATATATAATAAATATAAAAAAAATGCAAAATTAAAAGAAATGTATTAAAATAGTAAGTACAGTGGACCCTCGGTATACGTCTGCTTTAGAATACGTCCAATTCGGAATAAGTCCTGTTTGGACAAAACAAATTTTGCTCGGTATACGACTTTTGTTCGGTATACGACTTAATTATACGCGCCATCTATGAACAAGTAGCACTATCGGTGTACTACACTAGACTAGACGTTCACAGTGCTACAGTTTATAACTTTTTAAAATTTCTTCTGATTTTAAATTGTTTAATTTTATTATTTTTATTAATCATGAATTGCAAAAGGGCAACAGAAAAATAAAAAAATGTCTAGAATCTTAACGGGACTGAAAAAAGTGATTGTTGAGAAATATGAAGGTGGCACGTGTGTTCGAGATTTAACGAGATTTAACTGTTGCATTCTGTATTCCGAGAATGACGATATCGACAATCGTGAAAAATAAAGACATTGCTGTATTAAATTTGCTAACGTTGCGAAAGGGGTTAAATCAATTTCTAAACAGAGATCGAAGAATTAGATCATGTCGAGAAATTGCTTCTGCTTTAGATAACTGAAAAACAGTGTGCCGGCAACAGCGTATCGGAAGAAATTATTTGCGAGAAAGTTAAAAGGATACATGCTGATCTCATGAAAAATCAAGCAGAAACTAGCGAGGAAAGCCAGGTGTTTAAAGCCAGCAATTTTTTTTACATGAGAACGAATTAATCATTTTTACATTACTTCTTATGGAAAAGGTTGGTTTGGTATACGTCCCATTCGGTATAAGTCCAAACACCAGGAACGGATTAAGGTCGTATACCAAGGTTCCACTGTACTTTGTTTTGCTTGTAACACAAACTTTTTGATGGGGTCGATGTGAAGTTTCAAAAACTTGTAGGGTGTCGACGATCAAATAAGTTTGGTGACCCTTGGATTTCAAATATATTAATTTGCTTATGTTTTGATGTTTCATTATATATATTGAGTCATATACAATTTCCAGTTTTTCAAAAATAATCATAATAGTTTTCTAAATTATTATTTTTATCACTTGCTCCTCATATATTTTTGTTTTATATTTAATGTCCAAAAGGTAAAAAGTTATCTCCAAGAATATTTAACATTAAAACATTAAACTTTTTGAACACAGTGTTGTTTTTTAGAGATTTTATAATGTATGTAATTTAAATTGTTTATTGTAAGAAAATAAATGAGTACAAAAATTTTATCAATAACAAACAAAGTATAAACTATTGTGAATATTTATTAAAAGTTATATTTGAATACTTTTATATCAAAAATTCAAAATATTACCTTCCATTTTTTAATAGAAGAGCTTCATCTTCAGGAATATGACAAACAAGCAATTCACTTATTCTTCTTCTCTGAATATTTAAAATATTTAATTATAAAACATCATTAATTATAAAATAAGAAAATAACTACATTGTTGAAATGTTAAATAAATATGTTTTTTCATATAAAATAAAGAATCAAAAATATTCTATTTATATTATTTAGATATAGACAATGGCAACTACCTATACTGAATCTAAAACATTACTATAAAAAATAATAAAAGTTTATGATATAAACATATAAGAATTTACAAAAAAACTGAATTTTTATTAAAAAAACATCAAAGAACTGTTTAAATGTTAACTTTCATAAAACTAAGTTAACATCAAAAAAGTTCTTTTTTCCTTCAAAACAAATCAAATTCAATGCATTATTGCTACTGTAATCCAAATCAGTTTTGTTTGTTTTTCTGATAAATGCTCCAGACAAAAACAAAAAGAAATCATTGATTGTTTTATAAAAATTATTCTAAGTCCATTTTACAAAATCTGAATTCTTATAAATATATCACTGAAATTCAAATACTGTATTTAATGGAAGAAAGTATATCTCTCCATTAAAGTTACATTGCTGGTCAAAAGTTTTTAGAACACTTGTATCTAAAAACAAGTTATTTTTTGGAACTGATTTTTTGGGTTGTGAGTTAATTTATTATTATAAGTAAGTTGACAGAATTTCAAAGTGAGATGCATTGGAATTTGATATTTATTCCATTTTTTAAAAATATCAAATAGACAAAAGTTTTTAGAATAGTTTTACTTCCATAGAGATACAGAAAATTATGCACACTAAGTTAACAATTAATAACTTGTTGCACAGTCTTTTTTCTCTGCAACATTTAATACAACCTAGAAGAAATTTACTTATAAAGATTTAAAATAACATATGCATCAAAGTTATCAGCACATTGTTGAATGCACACTTTAACTTTCCACAAGAATTAAACTGTCCATGTTCAAAAATTTTTTGTTCCTTTAAATACCAAACATTTTCTATAATGTCCAAATCAAGACTATGAGCTGGTCAATTAATAATGGGAACTTTATTCTCTTTGAAAATAAAACCTAACTATGCCAGCTGTATGGATTGCAACATTATGTTGCTGCCAAAACCATTTACCTCGTGAAAAAAATTTTCACAACAAAGTAGAAATGTTGTTTTCAGATGATTCAGATATTTCATGGCATTATAATTTCCTCAATGAATTTGATTATCAATTTTCTCCAATTATTTACGGCATCCAGAATCATTGTGGAGCCACTTCCTTGTTGGCATCTTTTACAATGTGGACCTACCATAATTCCTGCAGTTTTCTCAAAATAAGACAAAATAAGACAGTTTTTTCAAAATAAGATTTGCTATTATCTAGACCAGTGTTTTTCAACCTTCTTGAATATGCGACCCCTTTACAAGTTAAAAATTCTGGCGACCCCCCCTAGGGTCATATTAAAACTATATCAGTGATTTTAGAAACTATGTATTTAATTTTCTTTCTGTTGAGACAAATTATTGTTGATTAAAATGAAAATTTCAGAAGAATCGACAATAATTTAACATACATAAAGTATGAAACTTCCTTTAATTATAACATTAGACACAGGGAACTGTTGACCTTTTTTCTTTTTTTTTTTAGGATCTTAATTTTCAGCTTCTACTTTTCTACTATTTATTTCCTTTTGCAAATCAGCTAAACACTTTTTCCGCTGTCATTTTTTGGGGTGGGCTGTAATTCTCGCTGAAATTGTAGTTTTTTTTAATGTAGTGTAGGACCTACAAACACTTGTCTTTTTCTTCTACCCGCCACCCCCGTGTAAGGCTTCGTGACCCCATGGGGGGGTCGCGACCCACAGGTTGAAAAACACTGATCTAGACCAGTGTTGTCCAATTGAAATTGTTTACTGGGGCCAAAACCAAAAATAAAAATACACTGTGGGCAGCACACATTTATTTACAAGAAAACATATACAATTATACAGTATTTTGTATGTATTTTAATTACAGTAGAACCCCTCTAGTCTGCCCTCGGCTAGTCCGTCACTCCGATTAATCTGACCGTGGTCGGAGTCGAAAAACTTGTCCCGACTCGTCGGTGACTCACTGTCCATGGAGTTTTTCTGTGTTCGTTACAGTATATGTTTTACATTGTGTGTACATGTACAGTTTTGTGTGTGTTTTCAACATGATAGGAGTGAAACGTAAACACGTTACTCTTTCATTAAATGAAAAATTAGCAGTGCTACAAAGACTAGACAAAGGAGAAGATTGTTTATTTTACTTTTTTCTGATAATCCGACCTTTTTTGCGTTCCGACCATACCCCCAGTCCCAAAGGTGACGGATTAGACGGGTTCTACTGTAATGTGAAACTTGCTTTTCAATTTTTTCACTGAATTTTTTAATATCAACAGGTATTTTTGATGTTGTACAACATAAATTGGTTGTTTTAAATTTTTATCAGTCAACCTATTATGACTTACGTTTAACAATCTTCAATTTTGAGAAAAAAGATTCAGAAAGATAGGTGATTTCCATTGCAGCTGTAATGCTCATTGCATTTTTTTAGGTTAGGGAATTTATGTACAGATGTATTTTGTATAAAACTGAACTTTGTTATTAGCCTCAAACATATATTTCAATTCAGAAGATGAATGAAGATCTATCAAATCTATCTGCAAATTTGTTGGAGCTTGTTCTACAACAATGTCAAATGGACATAAGAAAATATTAAATATGCTTTCATTAATTTTTAAATATGGAAATCTTTCTTGAAATTCTCTTAGTAAATTAGTAATTTTCTTGTGCATATTTAGAAAAATGTTTTTTGTCACTATTAGCCTCAAACATATATTTCAATTCAGAAGATGAATGAAGATCTATCAAATCTATCTGCAAATTTGTTGGAGCTTGTTCTACAACAATGTCAAATGGACATAAGAAAATATTAAATATGCTTTCATTAATTTTTAAATATGAAAATCTTTCTTGAAATTCTCTTAGTAAATTAGTAATTTTCTTGTGCATATTTAGAAAAATGTTTTTTGTCACTATTAAATTTATGTAATTTTGGACAATGAATTGTAATTTTTGATTTTAACTGACTTTCATAAAGTTTGAGTTTTGCTGTGAATGCTTCTATATTTTGATAACAGTCTGTGATCAATTTGTTTTCACCTTGAAGCTGCTTATTAAGTTCATTTAATTTCATTATGATATTTGTAAGAAAACAAATCCAAAAGCCACTGTCCATCGTATAATTTAGGAACATTCTGGTCCTTTTCATTGAACATGACCCGTTACATAAAGCACCCCTTCGTGGCTGACTATAATCAAATAACTTGTAATTAAACCTGTTAACAATCTAAACATGGAATGATTTGAAATTTTAAATCTATAAACATGTGTAAATGTGTAATTCTAATTAAAATTTTATTAGGCTTATTTCCAAAGAATTTAAAGAAAACAATAAAATATCTTATCGTTTATTGAAAACACAAAGACCATTGTAACTTAAGAATGTGTCTATTGTTTGACACATATATGGCAAATTTAAGGAAAAATAATTATACCAAATTATAACAAAACACCAATTTAAAAATATTTGTTGTAAACATACTGATTAAATATATACAGTACTATACCTACGTATATATTATATGTAATACATTTGAAGCTTTGTTAAAAAATATTTAATACTGTTTTAATTTCTGATTATATGTGATAAGGTGTTATACATCATATTAATTAAGCCAGTCTCATTGATGACTGCCATCAAAATAAATGATTTTGATGGCATTCATCAAGAAATTGCTTTAAATACTAAAATGATTTAATTGTGTGTTTTGAATAGAGCCCATATTTGAGAAGATATTTTCAGAAAAACAAGCATATGTTTTACACTAATTTTTTTTTGTAAATACAAAATAAATGTATATTAATATGTTTTTTTTTGTTGTTTTATTGAGTAAAATCTCTCGCAAACCTCCCAAAACTCTCAACCCCACTTGAGGAATCACAGATGTAAAATTTAGCTTTAGGCTTTTGATTTTATTATATCATATACTGTACTACATTTTAGATACATTTAGTGTGTCATCCTTTATGGTATTTATAATTACAATTTAAGGGGGAAAAAACATTTAAATTATTGCAGTGTAAACTTGAATACTTGATTTTCTTTTCGCATATTTGAAAATAACTTACCTTGAGATTATTCAAGAGAGAAGTATCATCACCATCTCTTTTAAAAGACATGCTTTCGAATATTGTTGTTGACGTTACTATTACGCCCCCTGGAGGTTATAAACGAAATCTTTGAAATTACTAATTACGTCGCAAGGAATTCGTTCATGAACATTCGTTAACTGCAATCGTTTCGGAACATTTTTTATTTTCGCCGCAAGAGTGGAGTATATTCGTTAAGTATCAAAATTAAAAAATGAAATTTACGGGGTAAATAACAGAATGCTCCTGCCCAATGTTCGACTACTAAGTCACGAAACTACTATTTGCGGCCGGATGGCCGAGCGGTCAAGGTGGCAGCCTACCGCTCTGGGATCCGGACCCGGGCCCGAATCCAAACGGGTCGAAAAATCCCCAGGAATTTTTTGGTGGTGGTGCGACCGGATATGTAGGACCACCCCTCGCTCCATTGTGGGCCTGGCCTAACCCATAATGGGCTTGCTAAAAGATGCCCTCTTAGTGCCCACAGGGCGGAAAGAGTTAAAAAAAACCCAAATGGTCTTTTAATATGAAATGCAATATTACGCCATTAAAGGTAAATTTTTTAATGCCTTTTAAAAGACCCCAAATGTTGACCCTAAGGTAATTTTCCGCGACCTCAAAGTTACCTTGGGGTCGCATTGTTAAAACGTTTGAATACCATTGATGTAGACAAATATTCCTGTAATTTTTGTTCGCCTAGTAAAATTCTTTGGTGTTGTGATTTATTTGATTTAGGCAATGCAACACGGGATTTGCGAAGGGGAAATGCCTGCCGGGAGGTTTTTTATGGAAAACTGGCCTCTATTTAGGCGTTACTAACGCGAAAAATCCCGAAAAACTCCACATGAAGTGGAGTTCGCTGGCGAGACGCGAACCCACGATCAACTACCGATTTCAAAACCGGATTGAATTCAGTAAAGTTAACGTTTTATTAATATTAATAAAGTGATACAGAAAATATTACCCAAGATTTACAAATATGCCTGTATCACGTATTATTCCCGGCAAAAAAATCAGCGTTTCTTTAATGTTGGTTCTTTAATGTTGAGTCTAAGTATTCAACAAATAACATTGGAAAATCTTATTGTTTTGTAATTAATATGCGTTAGTTTTCATGTTAATTTTAAAATTTAAACACAAGCATGACGTTATTTAAAAAAATTAAGAATGGTAAATAGGTGCCGTGCACAAATTGAAATGTACAGTACATTGGAATTTTCCCGTAGTATATCAGTTATGTGGAATTGTTTTCTTTCTTTCTTATCTTATTAATATGGAGACTCTAGCCTGTTGGCTTTTTCTCCGAATCATTCCGCTTAGAAATTAGGCAAAGCGGTTGATGCGGTGAACAAAACGCTCCAAGATTTCGATATGTTGGCGAGGAGGAAGGTCAGTATGAGGCCAGTATATCGAAGTAAAGGTACGGGTGATCGTGAGGTCCAGGGTTAAGAGATAGCCTAGCTCTTGGCGGGCTCGTGTGTATTACAGGCAGACAAACCAATAGTGGACGGAAGTTTCTGGAGAGCTACAATGGGGGCAATCTAGCGAGAATAGAGGAAGTTGTTCAAGGGGGCCGTATCGGTTCGAAGTCTAGCCAATAGGGTTTCTGTGTGACGAGACGAGGCGTGATGGTATATCCAAGGGACAAAAGGTCGGAGATGGTCGCGACCTTTTCCCCGAAGAATAGTGGACCAGGTATCATTGTAGTTGCGGATGATCGATTCCCGTATCTGACGTATGAGATCACGTGCCATGAGAGGTCCCACCAGGAGCCGGTGGGAGTGTCATGTCTAGCGGCTTGGTCTGCCGCTTCATTTATGTGAATGCCAACATGACCAGGGGTCCACTCGATTTCAAGGGGTGTTAGGTCAGAGCTGATAGTTGCAGCTAGGTCAATAATAACCGCTGGAGAGGAAAAATTTACGTTGGCGACTGCCTGGAAAACTGATTTGCCATCGGACTTATGACGATGGCCATCGGAGATATTAAGACGGGCGCTGAGATTAACTGCCCGTTGGATGCCGAGAACCTTCGCATCAAAGACGCTGCAGTTCGTGTGTAGCGACTAAGTTTCCTTGACCGTTTGAGCCGGAAGAACCACTCCGAAAACTGTCCGTAGGTATGATTTTGAGACATCTGCTCCAATGAGAGTCCAACCCCGCCAGTTGGTAGAATGTAGATCATTGAAACGAGCATTCAAGGCTGCCGGAGGTTGGCTGGAAGCATTTGGAAAGTCGTCTAGACGAATTCTAGGTTGAATTGTTTTAAATCCAAACATACTTTATATACTGTTTTGTTTTGAGAGCATTACAAAGGTTTTGTTTTGCAATGTCGCAATGATACCTTGATATTAAAATATTAATCTTATAAAATTATGTTATGTTACAGTAGAACCTCGAAAACTCGGCTCTTGATAACCCGGCACTCCGGATAACTCGGCCACACCCTGGCAGGGCAAAAAAATCATTATTTAATTAATTTTCATTATAGACAGCTTTATAAAAGTATAAAAGCTCTCATAAAGTATTTTTCTCAGGTCTGTCTTATCAGGTAAATTACTGTACACAGTGTATTCATTAATTTTCATTTTAATGTAGTAAAGGCTCTATGCCTTCATAAAGGACGTACTTTTCCTTTGTTTAAGGGTATTTGGGCAGTTTATTCTCTGTTATTATGGGCAGTTTATTCTCAAGTAAACAATACATATAAGTACAGTACAGTATTTTCTGAGGAAACACTCGTACTTATTTTTTTAACCCCATTCCCGATAACCCGGCATTTTCACAAACTCGGCCACCCTTCGGTCGAGTTTTCGAGGTTCTACTGTACTAGATTATTGATTTATTTTATTTTAGAATTTTTTTTTGAAAAATTTTTCTAAACAATAAAAAAATAAGGTTAATTTTCATAAAAAATTATTTTGTGTTTGGAATGATTTTTACACTAACCAAATTTTAATTTACGCTAGAAAACAAAATTTAAAAGAATTGCCTATTAAATTTAATAATTTATTTAATAATTAGCGGCAAACAATATGTTTTCGCGGAGGAAATTTTGATGATTTGCTATTTTATATAATACGATTTAATTACGGATATTACCTAAAGTCTGTATAAATTTCACTCCAAGATTTAAAATTGGATCTAGGAAACTTTTGGATTCTACTATTTCTTTCCTTCTTTTTTCTTTATCAGAAAACGTTACACGTTTAATATTTTTTGCCGGATAATCTGTTTTATCTTTATCCGATTTTAGCACCCCATTCTTCGATATTGAAGTGTATATTTTCGTTTTTGTTTGTATTACTTTTTCATTTTGTTTGTTTATTTTCGTTTGTCGAAGATATTCACAATTATCATAGTTTTTTTCCTTCTGAACAGATTCGTTTTCATCTGATTGAAATGCAATATTACGCCAATGATGACATTTTTGTACCATGTACGGCAACCATCTTGATGATTCAGATTTTGATTTATCATATTTCTTTGCTTTCGAGTTCGCATACAAATTTACATATTTGTATTCATCTTTTGGATATAGATTTAATTTGGTTTCTTTAATATTGTGTCGTGGATCTGGGTTTTTGTGTAAACTTAGATTTTCTCTCTGGTGCATCGCTTCATCAAAGGTAAATTTTTTAATGCTTTTCTCGATTATATATGGAGTTTTCTTTTTAATCATAAAATTTTGTTTACTCTTTAACCCTTTATTAGCTATAATAAGAAAACAATATAATTTTATATTAATTTAAAGTAGATAATGTTTTTGAATTTTTCTAAAGTTTGAGCTTACTTGAATAATCTTTTTTTATATTAGGGATTTTAAATATATTATCTGATACTTTATCGTGAAAATATCGCAAGGATTCGACCGTTTTAACTACTTTCATTTGCACAGAACTTGAAATTCTTTTCGAGTTCGTGTTATATTGATCACCTAGTTTTATACCTTCTACGTATAATTTATTATTACTGATTTTATTTCTATTTTTATTTAGGCATTTGTTTTTATTGTTTTCAAAATTTTTAAACAATTCTTCAGGTGTTTCTTCATATTCAATGGGTTGGTTTTCATTTAACTTTTCCAATTTACTCGCTTGAATACATTTTTGTCTTGCATTTGATATAGCAGCGACTTCCTCACGTTGAAAATGAACATTTTCTGCATTCCAATTATTATTATCATCATGTTCTTTAATGGATAAAACAGAAAAATCGTATTCTGAATCATTGAAGTTGGTAATAGAAATGCTTGATTCGCATCTTCCTATTGTACTTTTTTGAGAAAGTAATGACGCAAATTTGCAACTCAATTCTTCAGCAACTTTAGTTCTAAAAACTGGAATAAATTCTTGTTTAGAGTCCATATATTGAATATTTTTAGAAATTTTATCTTCATTTATTGTGCTTTCTTTTTTCAAACTCTGTTGTAAACTGGAAATTTTAATATCCTCTTTGATTGGATCCAAAGTCTGACATTTATAATTGAGAAGTTGATTTGTTTCAATATTTTGTTTACTTATAGTTGACTGTAAAATTTCTTTTTTTGAGACGAAGATTGAATTTATATTGGAAACAGAACTTTTGAACGTTGCATATTTACGATTTATGTAATTCTGTGCAATAGGAGACTGTATGTTTAATGATTCCTTTATACACTCTTCAGAAACCTCTACTGTGGAGATTTGTACAGTTGATTGTTTTGAAGTAGGAACAACTGAAACAATTTTTAAGTTAATATCATTTGTTTCCAACAATTTTTCTTCGGATCCTATTGCAGGTAATAATGTACTTGATTGTTTACTAACTGCAGAAGAAACAATATTTGTGGGTGAAGTCGGAACAGGCAATTCTTCGGTACTTTCAATGTCCTGAATGTAATAACTATCTGGATATATAGATATTTCTGTTAAATTATTTTCTTCAGTGTCACATTTTTCGTTATTATTATAGTCTTCTAAATCTTTGAATGAAGATATAATTTTTTCATTTTCCTCATCTTCATGTTGTTCTGATAATTCATCAAATTCTGTTAATTGTATGTCAGCATCACTTTTTACGCTTCCATTTAGATTTTCTTCTTCAGCGGGAAGCTTGAAGAAGGGATACGGTATATTTCTTTTTTCAGATTTATGAATGATACAATGTTTTAGACTTTCATTTTTCATATTATCAATATCGTTTTCCTTATCTTTCTCGGATATCGACCCTGTTATGTTTAAAGAATGTAGTTCTGTCGGTATATCTTCATTCGATTTCTTTATTATATGCATATCTGATATTTTAATACTTTCGTCAGATCTATCACGTTGATCTTGTAGAAAAGGTTTTATATTTTCATTTAACGAATCATATGATTTTTTAGTTTCTGCGCCATTTATGTTTTCTGTTTCATTAACAACAGGTGATGGTGACTGTAAAGGAATTGTCTGAAAAGCATTGGCGGTATCACATTCTAAATTAAAACTGGCAGCTTCTATCTTCTGAAATGAATGTGATTTTCCTATTGAATTCGTTATCCTTTTACCTGAAATTTTGTGCTGAAGAAAATTATCTCTTGAAGTACCATGTTCATAATCCTGAATTCTGTTCTTGTGTCCATAATCTTTATTCTTAGTGCGCATTTCTGGTAAATAACAATAAACAAAATATACATTTAATTATCTATCAACTCGTAGCGTACTTTATGGGATATTTAAATAGACGTACCTAAAATTTGTACTTGTTTTGGTTCCAGTATGATATCTTCAATAATTAATTCTTTTTCATTTTTTTGGGCAACTATAGGAGCAGAAAAATATGACTCATGTTGAGAAATAGTTTTCGGACGATCACATAATGTGACTTCAATATCCACATCTTCAAGAGGTACAAGAAAAGACTCTTGTCTAATTTTTGCTTTATCTCCTTCCTTCCGATTTATTATTGTTATAGTACTTTCTGACCACATTTGCTGTTTAATTAAAGGTTCATTTATGGCTGTAACTGTCTGAACATCAATATTAGATTTTTCCTCTTGAATTAATCGATTAATCAAAACATTTTTCGCAGCATTTTGAATGGTTTCAAGCATTTCAGTATCTATCGTTAAATTCTGTAGTATATCTTTGATGCCTGCTGAAACCTGTTTCTGTTGACTTAAGCGAGTTATCAAAATCTGTCTGATTGCTTCGTATACTTCTTGTATGACATCTTCATTTGATTGCATTTTCTTAAAACGCTGTAGAATATCACACAATGTCATATCAGTTATTTTTCCTAAAAAATATTGAAAATCATCCAAATTTGTTGCCGTTTCTACAGGATCTTCATTTTCGGCAATTAATATTTGTGTTGGAAAATTGCGTGTGTCATTTTTTGATATTTTTACAGAATCTGTTGAACTTTTCTCAATATTGAAAAATTTTTTAGTTATATTTGATTCTGCTACATTTCCGTGTTTACTACTTCTTTGTATTGTCGTTATCAAATCATTATCTTCACTATCAAAATAATAATTTGAAGAAGATTCCGTAAGAACTTTTGACGAATCAGAATAAGTTTTTTTAACTTTTCCCTTATTTGATATTTTGAAATATGAATTTTTCGATGATGTTTGTAGCTTAAATTTCTTTGACGTTTTTCTTTTACTAAATTTTTTATTAATTACTGAAGATTCCTGAGTGAGTGCAAAGCATAGCACTTGTAATTTGAACCAACAAACAAACAAAATTAAAACTATTGGGTCGTTGCAAATGAAATAGCCGCTTTTAAAATTTAAACTTTCCAGCTCTATAGTTCAGCTTTTTTCCATGTGAACAATGATATATGCTTGCAATTAGAAGAGCACACATATAATATGTAAATTTAAAAATATAATCTGATTTATATTGTGAGTTTCATATGTTTAAGAGTACTTTTTTTGAAATCACGGAAAAAAGGAAAATTGAATAATTTTTTTACGAGTATAAGCAGGGAAATAATGCAGCCAAAGCAACCCGAAATACAACAAAACTTTTGGTGAAGGTTCTGTGAGTGAGCAGACCACCAGACATTGATTTAAAAAATTTCATTCCAGGAATAAAAATCTTAAAATTTAGAATTGAAGAACATCATCGAATCAGATCACCTGACTGTCCGGGAAATCGCAGAACATACTGGACACTATTCTACCATTTTTCGACATTTAAACGTGTTGGAGAAAGTCAAGAAGTTCGACAAGTAGATATTACACGAACTCAGCGAGAGAGAAAAAGAGCATCATTTGGAGGTCTGCAGTTCTTTATTTGTCACAAAAATGAAAGTATTCAAATGAAATTCTTTCCATCCACCTTATTCTCCAGACTTTTCTTCCTTGAAAGTCTTCAAGGAAGAAAACGCAATAAAAAGTACAATCAGCCATTTCATTTGCAATAACATATTACATATAACTTACCCTTGACACTGTGTTTTTCTGTTTTCGTAACCATTTGTAGAATTTGATAACTACAGATTTATTTTTTCTCATGTTTCAAAGATCAGTTATTCAAAGTAAACATTTGTTTTATAAAAAAGAGTTTATTGTTTAACAATATTTTATTGTTTAAATAAACTAGAACTAAATCTAAATAGTCGAAATACAGTTAAATTTTTCATTGAAAAAATTAAAGTCCATAAATTGTTTAAAAAGTTGCTGAATTAATAACATGTATCTAGATTGATATTAATATATTAATGTCAATAACTATTGTATTAACATTGTATTAATAACTATTGTAACAAAGCATTTATAATTTATAATTATGAACAGAAAACACAAGTACTTGTACCGGTATTTCACAAATCATACTGTTTAATTAAACTTTATCTATGACTATATTTTAAACCACACTCTACATTCTATTTTATTTAACGCATAACGAGTTCAACAACATTGACAATACGATAAACAAATAATAAATGTGCTATTTTACTTTTCGGATCGAGCGAAAAGCTGACGTTGCGTAAAAAAATCATTCATTTATAAGTAATCTAAAAATTTAACTTATTTTCACTTCTAACTAATACAAATTACAAATAACGCATTCTAATTTGTAACTATGACTAGAAAATACCACAAATCGAGTCCTATCATTGGCGCTGTTTGCCGTAGCAGCATAATTTAGAACTAATGCTCGCTCAGGAGCTAGAGGCTTGTAGATCAGCGCTCCTACAAAGTGGCACTGGTTGCAATCGGGGCTAACGTGGCCTTGAAAATAAAGAACATTCCTTGTTTTAAGGCTAAGTTTAGGTCAACATATGACGAAGTTGCTTGGGACAATGGACAAATATCGTTCATTAGTTTCTTTTATATTTGCAGAATAGACTAGAAGTTAAATGGGTCGGACTTAATGAAGGCTTTACTTGTTATTAACATTTACATTTTTTTTTTTTCTTTTATAAAACTCATTTCTANACCCTAGTTTAGTTAGTGAGAAGTTAATGTTAAAAAAAAACAAATAAATAAATACATAAAAATAAAAAAAATTTTTTTGGGGTCTTGCTCGTTTGTCTCTGTTGGTCCGGTCCATTCATCTCATCTAGTTTGTCATTGTGTTCATTTGCTTTTCACGCTGTCTAGCTGTTAAATAGTATTAAGATTTGTGATCGCGTGCTCAGTTTTATTAGTATTAAGTAGATATAAGTCTTCCTATTAACTACTAACAGCCACTTGGAACTAACTTCTACACTTGGCTATTCATGGTGGCACTCAATTATTGGTGTTCGCTAAACTCAAGTTTTCTTTTAGACCTTCGGGAGACTAGGGCCTTGCAGCCTACAAACTGCATGCCAACATCAAACATAGAGGATACTGTAGCCATACATACACCATTCAGAGGGATACTACCTTTATCTATCTATCTCCTCTCCCTCCTTCCCGCCGGCTAAACATGTCATGTACAGCCGAAGTCTTTCTTGTATGTATGTATTAAGGGAATTGATGCTATTAAATTTTAGTGATTAAAAGGTCGAGGAGGTGAGGAGATAAAAGGGATCATTTGTCATATCTTGAATAGGACTGGACTTAAGATTTTACTTGTTATGAGCATTTACAATTTTTATTATTATCAAACTCATCTCTATCTTCAAAGTTAAGCTTTTTTCCATTTTATAATAATTAATAATATAAAAGTTATTTTTTTAAAACAAAGTCTCATAGCACAGCGTCAAAGACAATTTTCATTTTGTGCTAATACAGTAGAGCGTTGTTTATCCGAAAGTCGGTTATCCGAAAGAATTCTAGTCGGCCTAAAGTATAATTTTTATTTGTTTTTATATTTTTCAATGTATCTATTTCGTTTGTAAAACATAAAGAAATCATTTTTAACGATACAATAGCCACGATTATTATTTTAAAAAGTTTACGTTAGGCTTAACAGCGACGAAAATTCAACACGAAGCGACACGCAACGGAGAAAAATTTCAGCATGGGATAGGTTAATATATTTTTTCGTACATAATCGGTTATCCGAAAAATAAGTTATCCGAACAACCCCATTTCCCAATTGATTCGGATAAACGACGCTCTACTGTATGTCTTAGTGTTTTTCCGGGAAAGTTACGCAACTCGTTGTTGGATTTCTTTAAAGATGGAAGTGGCATGATAGAAATTTAAAAGAAAACATAATACATAAGGAAAATGTATTTTGAATAGTTATTATTTTGAATCTTATAAAATATATGTAAAATACAACTTCAATGCTTATTTAAAATGTTAAAGTTCTACATCATAAAATAAAATATATAGGACATATCACTTTATACAGAAGTGTTCAAGGAGAGACAGAAGGAACTTATGTCACCTCAGATCTAACTCCAAGAAAAAAAAAATATATTACACAAACTTATTTCTAATGTGTTTCTAATGATGCTATTTGGACACGCCTCTGGCGTTATACAGGATGACCCAAAAGTTTGTTAAACGTTTAAAATAAAAAGTTTTATTGTAGTTTCTAACAACAAAGTTTTTTAAAACATCTGTTCCAAATGAGATTCTCCTGCACATTCAATAAGTTTAACATTACTGCATTGCTAGAAATTTTTAGTTTTGTTTTTTTAATTTTCTCGATTTGAGTAAGCCTTGGTTAACTGAATTATGAACCATTCTTCAAATTATTATTATTTTCAATCGTCAGCAATGTACTGAAGCTTATATATTATTTAATAAACTGAGGTACTGTACTTCTAACGAAGTTCTTAGTTGTATTGTGTTAAAATAATTAATAACGTTGAGAAATGTTAGGGCTAATGCATTGATAAAAAGTAAGTTTTTCATTAAATTTAAAAGAATGGTTTACTATATAATTTGTCCTATTTTAAAATAACTTATGTTAATGTAAACATTTTCAAATTATTTATTACATTTTAATGATATCTTGCACACTACTAACAAATACAATTAACTTTGACCTCGTTTAATTTCTAAACATGAATATGTAAAAGTAAAAGTTTTTATTTATTTTTTATAGGTTTAAATTTTTCAGATGTATGACAGAGAAATGAAAATTAGGCAAGAATTAATTATTAGTTTAGATAATGCACACGACCTCCTTTTTTTGAATTGTGGAGATTGACACAACATCGTATAAAAGGTCAGAATCAAAACTAAAAAAGAAAAGATCGTAACAAGGTTATAGTCTACAATTCATTGTTATAAATCGTGAGGGAAAGATGGCCTAAATTATAATAACAATAATGATAGATCTTGTCACATAATCTTTGCTTCTATTCAGTAGCGCGATGTGGAACGTATGGTACTTATGGTTTAATTTCCGACTAACAGATACTCTCTAACTAAAATGAATGATTAAAAACTGAAAAAAGTTAATTCAAATGACCATTTTTTTCAGAAATTTTGATGTCTTTGTTCTTATTATATTTGGACATATAGAGAAGAATGAAACATTACAATTACACAGGTTTTGAAGCAATAACCAAAATCATTTTCTTGTTTAATATTCTGTTACAAAATTGTGCATGTAATCTATTTTTTCAATTTTTGGATTAATATCACATTCCCACATCCTTCTAATGAAAGAAAACTACATGATTTCTTAAGAATTTCAGCTATCTTTCGAAAATACTCCATTTTAAAAAGTTTATTAGAAGACAAATTAACCATGTTCCCTGTAAAATGTTCTAAATTTAATTATGTTAATTTACGTATTTTTATTTATTTTCTAAATTTACACATTATTTAAGTATAAAATAAAATTAAAATGATTGGATATTTCTTACTCTAAAGTGTCATGTCTAAACCATGCCCAAAGCTCAGCTCCAGGTGGTGCATCTTTCAATGGATATAACAGAACGTCTCGAGCTTTCAAAATATCGACTAGGGCACCGGATGGCACTTTTAAAAAGTGTTGCCATACCTTACACATAAAATAAAATTAAAATGAATGGATATTTCTTACTCTAAAGTGTCATGTCTAAACCATGCCCAAAGCTCAGCTCCAGGTGGTGCATCTTTCAATGGATATCCCCATTTTTTGTGTCTCCATCTCCCTTGAGTTAAACTTAAGTGTAATTCTTGAACCCGGTGTTTCGTGACAATCTGTCCAATGGATCTCGGAAACAAACGAAAATGACGGACTGAAAACACCAAACGATTAAAATAAATAAAAATATTGGAATTATCGTAAGAAAATAATTGAAAGCAAACCAACGCGCATCATTTTGATCCAAATCCACATTCCATCTAATAGGAAACTGGAAATATGCATACACGTGCCCACTCGGAAGAGGTTTAATAATTAATTCTTCACTAAAAATATCTGATTCAATTGCAGAACATGTTCCTATAATCGTTAAAAATACACATGTAAAAATCGACATACTGGACGGCGCCATATTACTAGCATACCGCATAATACAACAATTTTATTCAAAAAAACAAACTTCTCGAATATTTTACTAAAATAACATATAATTTAATTTTTATATATTTTTATAAATATTAATTTAAATCAAATATTTGATTTTATCGTTTATAAATATATAAATATTTTATTAAAATATTTCAAAAATTTAATAAATACATTTACGACATTTATTATAGCGATATTAATTAATTTAATAATAAATACACGCTTAAATTGAATACATTTTTGGTAAATTTTATCAAGTAGAATATTAACCAATAACACTCATGACCGTTATTCAACCCATCATTAACAACAAGAAGCACATGGACAATGGAGGAGAGGACGGAAATTAAATAAAAGAGTAATTTGTGATATACAAGAAATTTTCGTATAAATAATTAACTCGGATAATCTTTATAACCTTTCAATGCTATAATTAATCAAAGCAATAACGTATTGAAATGCAAAAACTAAAAACTGATAATGGATTGGAATTTTCTTTTAGTTTTTATGAGAATTTTATTGATGTGTGTTGTTTGTAGTAATTGGATATTAGATTTCTTGCCTTATAAGATACGAATTGTTTATAAAAAATTTATCCAGCCGTCTAGGGAGTGACTCTTTTTCTTTTGTTTGTTTGTTTTATTTGTTTTTTTTTATAANGAAATGAAGATAGAAATTTTTATTTATTTATTTTAATTCCCATCCAAAAATGGATAATCAATTTTATTTTATTATTTAAACTATATCTAGTTTTATAGCTTGTTAATATGATAACTCAATCTAGATGATCGTTATGTTTTTAGGGCATCCTAGCGTGCTATTTGTTAGATGCGTGCAAGAAATTGCCCACTTGTTCCTTTAAATGGCATCATACTGAATAGAAAAATCATCAACGATTAAACAATCGTTTTCTTATTGGTACATATAATATAATTTATGTCTTGTTTTTATCTTTTGTTCGCATTCTTTTATTAAAGTCCAAAGATAAAGTCCTAGACCAATTTTGAAATTAAGTGTATCATTTACAAGTACAAAAATTAGAGTTATGCATATGACTGTTTATATTTCATTAATTACTCAATGAAGAATGTGGAAGAGAAAAATAAATTAATTTTGAATTCACTTTTGTTTTTTATTCATCCACTTATTGGTTATTAATAACTCAATTTATTTTCTTATTAATAAAATTAATGAAATTTATTTTAAAGCCTATTAAGCAAGACACATTGCTTACTACACAAATAGTAGATAATAAATATATCTAGCAACGAATTTTGTTAATTAATTATAATATTTTAAATTTATTTTTCTTTAAAAATAAATAATAAAATCTAAACCAAATAATGCAGTTCTCAGTTGTAAAGTTCTCAGTGTATAGAAATATATATATAACCTTATCAATTGATTAATTCTATTGTGCAGATTGATAAGAATCATTATCTAAAGAGGAAAAAATTATCTAATTCTTTTAAAGTTTTTTTTTCCTACTGTCTGGCATTATTATAACAACGATAAATCGGATTTAATGCTTTGTATATGAGTCTACGATATAAATAGAAACTTCTCTATCAAAATGTAGTAGTGATTTTCGTGTACGAAAAGATCGAAACTGATCGATAACATCACTTGTCTCGGCTTCAGCTTAACTTCATCAATCATTTCAAACTGTGAAAAAAAAGGTAAAGATATGCAAAATCTTAGTATTGATTTATAATTATTTTTAGCTGATTATGTTTAAAATACAGTATATATATATATTTTTTATTTTAAGTTGATTTTTTCTGTACTAGATGGCAGTAGAGTGCTTCAGATATCTTTACCTTCATTTAGAGCTCCATTTGACAGTTTGTTGTCAGACAATGCTGAAAGTAATCAGTGTTCTGGATAATTAATTATACAGTTCACAGAGCTTCTGTGTTACGTCAGAGATAGTGCAGTAATTCTTAACTTTATGTAAATTTTGTAAATGTTAGTTGTTGAAAAAACCTTTTTTACAAAACTCCTACCAAATTGTTTAAATATTAATTTAAAAAATAAAATTTATCTTTAAAAATAAATGCATCCGAGATTTGAAAAAAAAATTCCATTCATAACTGTAAAGGGAAAAGATAGAGATAACCACATTCCATGGCAGACCTACAGTTCCAGTAAAGAAAGATGAGTCAGAATGTATACATTTCCATATAGGGAGGATTGTGACATGTTGAAAATAGGTTTGCATCTGTTAACTTCCTTTTTGAAATCACTTCCTGGCGTTAAACATCTTGTTCGTTTTATTCAATCGGGGGCAATATACTAATTACGGAGTTTTATTGCTTCAAAAAGTTAAAAAAAATTCTGGTATATGATTCATGATTTACTATGATCACGTATAACATAATAATAATAATAATAATAAAATTCTTGGTAAATATTTAAAATGACTCATAAATCAAAACAAACACTAGTAACGAGAATATTGTATGTGTAAACATTTCAGCCTACTGTATAATAAATTCGACTGCATCTTATAAATAAAAACATAGAGAAGTTAGGGAGAATGTCACCTCTGACCTGCTGAGTAATAGGTGATTGATAATAATCCTCAAATTTCTACCACCGAGTTAAAGTGAAGTGTGTTACATCCGGTGTTAAATGGACTGGACAACGTTAACTTCCCTTCTCTACTTGATTCACACTTGACCAATATTAGCTTGAACTTAAGGAAAGATCCATCGTTGATAGATACTGTCCTTGTGAATTGCTGACATAACTAATTACTATAAACTTCGAACTAACTGCCATCCTTTTCTACTATCTAATCGTGTGACTAGTGATAATACATATGGCTAAGGGGACCATCATTTAAATTGAGAGGAATGCACCAAGAACCTCATAAATCAAAAAGAAAAAGTCATTTCGGATATCATAACGTATTGCTTTAAGCATAATTTTGTATTTTGTATGCGTTATTTGAAAGTGATTTAAGGAATAATTTGAAGAGAAGTAAATATTAATTACCGACTATAAATTTTAATTATTGTTTAAACATTGATATGAATTCTTTGAAATGGAACGAACCGGATTAGTTACAGTATCTCCTTTGAGGTTTAAAAATTCTCTCGAGATATAAAAAACAATAATAGATCTTAATTAAAAGTAGTAATATCTAATTATATGATTTATACTTTCTAATTTCACGATTAAAGTTATGATAACTCTATTAAATTTTATATTGTTTTAAATTTGTTTCGTGAAAAATGTTTAATGAATTTCGTAAGAAATACATCGTTATCGCTGTTTTTCAATAATGTGGAGTCGTATTTCCCTACGTTAAAAATTCTAGGAACGGTGAAGAGATTTTGGTTTTGGGTATCTAAAATGTGTGAGAATGAATAAACACTATTGATTTATCGTCAGTCGTAGGCGTAGAAAATATATATGAAATAAAAACAAATATTTAAAATAAAAAAACATCAATATACTGATAATTATTGTATTATAAAGTAGGACGAGAGAAGAATGACTTAAATTTCCAAAAGAGGAATTCCTAGTCCTACTTTAAACTTATGAGTGGTTGTGATGCAATGATCTAATCACTATAAAAATATTTTATTATTTATTTTATTTGACATATTTAGATATTTAGAGACAAATTTAATTTAGAGAAAGAAAAAAAAAATCCCTGTAAACTTACTCATGTATCTCAATATAAAAATAAAAATTTATACATCAAAAATATAGCCTATTTATATACTAAAAAATAATAATTCTATAAATAAAAA